TTTAAAAAAAAAAAAAAAAAAAAAAAATATGTACCCACTTGAATACTTTGATATAATGAAATACAATAAAACTGCAGTTATTAATTGCTAAAAAAAATCAGAGCAACATATATAATAGATGCTTTCTCACATATATCTATAATTAAATTCAAATAAAAAGTCCCTTGAATTTCATTATTTTGTATTCCCGTGCGCAAGTTATAAATAAATAAAGAAGGTTATGAGAGCGAGATATGATTTTTACCTTATAAGAATGTTACTTGATGAATAAGATTCAAGTTAGATTAAGAACTGCTGATTAGTTCTAATCCAATGTATACCAAACAGAATAGTCTACGGATATTGTTGTAAACTATATATTAAAAAGTACAATGTTATAATTAAGATTGTAAAGACCAAAAGCAATTTAAAATATACAAAATTAATTACGCATTTTAAAAATGTTTAGTGGATGTGTTGTGAATAATGCAATTTGTTTGGAATTTTAGAATTTATAATCGATAACAAATGCAACACTGTTGATTTGTTGGTGGTGAGATTGTTAACGACATTACATGCTGTGGGAATTGCGCTTGTACTTTAATAGACTTAAACAAATATATTAAGTAAATTATTGCAATTTAATAATTGATTTAATAAACAATAATATAAAGAAAATCAGCTTTAGGAAATAAGCATATCTTTTTTGACTTTAGAAGGAATAGCTGTAAAAATGTCGCAGGAAAATCAAGGTAACCAGTTAGAGGAGATACAAAAACAAATATTCGATGCAATTGCAAAAAACGAGACTAATGTTTTTAAGCAATTAATAACACAAGCTAAGGGAGGAGTAAATTTTGTGGACGATGGCGGGATGACACCACTTCAACATGCATGTTGCAAGGGTAACAAAGAAGTAGTGGAGTTACTATTAGATATGGTATGACATTGAGTGGGCCCTCTTGAGTACCCACGTGTTTTTAGATTTTTATGAATATGTTTCAAATATATTATATAATTTTAGGGTGCTGATATCAACTACAATAAACATGGTGCCAATTATACCCCTTTGCATTTTGCCGCGCTTTCGGGTAATACCGAATTATGCCGACTTTTACTAGATGCTGGCATAAACCCAAGTAGCCTAAATAGTGTTTCTAGAACTGCTTCCCAAATGGCAGCATTTGTTGGTAATCATAGTTGCGTTGAAGCAATTAATAACTATATATCCAAGGAACAACTAAAATATTACACAGTACCACAAGGCCAACAAACTGAACCAATTTTACCACCAAGCACCCTACAAAGTTTTCATTCATTTGTAATAGAAGTGAATTTACATCCCGTACGCATAGCACTGAATCTGCAGTCTTTGGGTTTAATCAAATATATGTCTGGTCTAAAAAGGGCGTTAGAATTATTATCCGAAAAGGAAATGACGAAATCGCATGATGTGAACGAACTTATGGCATTTAAATATCATTATTTACGTTGGATCTTATCGGAAATAATGCGTTGCGAAGAACAATGTAAAGCTCAGAAGAAAGACAAGCCAGTTGAAGCGGATGCTAATAAAACAGATTTTATTGAGTTGTTTATTAAACGAGCGCTAAAAGAAAACAAATCAGGACAATTGGATTATATAGAATACACAATACGCGATTGTACTCGAGAATTTCGGTTTAGAGAAACGATTATTTTTAGACAAATAGTGTCACAACTAGCTTCCAAAGATGCTTTACCCGCGTTAAATGTATTGCGAAACAATATTAATGGTCTACGTGGATTTGTTGTAAGTATGAAAATGCAATATTTTGTTTAAAACAAATGATTAATTAAACATTTCGTGTTGGCTTTGGTCGTATTAAATTGGTCAGTTGTTATAAACACTTAAGGTACATTTACACCAAAGCGAACGCTTGCGAACAAACGAACTTTTGCAAGTATCATTACCATTACATTTGCTTTGGTGTGGATGCACCTTTACATGTATAAACAATATGATATGATAAACAATATTAATTTATTTAGGAGGAAACATCATTTTGCAGTTCATGTGGTAATGAGAAACCTGATAAGAAGTGCTCAAAATGCCGAGCTGTACAATATTGCGATCGGGAGTGCCAACGTTTGCATTGGTTTATGCACAAAAAAACTTGTGCTCGACCCACATCAAATGCAACACCAACAACCGCATCGGCTACAAAGGAACCAATAGATGTTAGTGAATTACGTGAAGCAATTGCTGATGTCACTGCCAGTTAAACACAATTTAAGTTAGCCACATCACTGTGTTATTAAGAATTTTTCTTTATTGGAAAAACTTGTGTTTCTTATGTTTTTGATTTGTTCATTTGTAAAATGCAATAATATATTTAGTCATTTATATTTTGGTTTTATGCTTTACTTTACTTAATATTGACAATTTTCTAAATCTGAAAAAAATATAGAATTATATTAAACCAATTATAAAAAAATGCAATAAATAAAAATTCAATAGAAATTCAATATTTTAGCAAGTTTTGCGTTGTGTTAGTACTTTTTGTTTAATATATTTTTGAATTTATAATTTAAAAATTAAATGAGAATTTTTGATATATAACTTTTTTAATTACTAACTATTGAAGGAAAGTGGTTTCCGTTGAAAAGAACAATTGTTTTTATGACAGTTTGCGTACTGTACGCGTATTGAGCTCATAGTTTGTAAGGTATACTTTTAGGCAACAAATTAAATATATGCTTATTGTATTTACAAAAGTACATAGCATTCATTTGATATACACAAAAAATTTTATATATATATATATATGTATATGTACCACAAATATAATATATAATTTTCGGATATAATTGTCAGTATTTTTTTTATAATTGGCAATAATTAAATTTATGTAATTAAATTACTTATGATTTAAAAAATATTTCCAGAAATATAAAATAATATTAAAATATCAGAACAATGTAAAACAAGTATGAAATAAAAATCATCAAATTAAAAATTAATTATTTATTTTTTTTAATTTTACAAATATGTCATACCGTAACGAAATATTATTAACTAAAGAAGAAACTTGATTGAAGTGACCTGTGAGAAATTTCATTTGAAGTACTTCCACTCCCATTGACGATGGCGACTTCACTTTCAAAGAACAAGGCTTCAAAAATTTTACCAAATTTGGACTCTCTTCTAGGTTTCTGCATTAGTTATTTTCTATTGATAGTGGAATTGACCCCCATACGCTCAGCAGTGGTCAATGTGAAATTGGGCTTTTTTATAAAATAATACTATTAACTATGTGTTATTATAGTTCCATTAGTTGAAATTGACTAATGATATTGTATATTTGTAGGAAGACAAATAATAAAGTGCCTTGGTACATCCGCACAGCACAAATGACATGCTAAGGTCTCTTAGAATAGACCCGGACAAAAAATACTTAAGGGACAGAGCCCTGAAGTTATTCGCGAAAATCGACAGCCTGCCCTACTTAGCACTATCTGATCTCAGAATCGTCACTTATCGAACGGGGCGGTATGTAGATCTTAGATCAGTCATCGAATAATCACGAAGCTTTTGAGGAATACATAAATTAGTCAGTGAGAAGAGTGGGACTCTGCAGAAATCCCTTAGCTATCAAAGAGTAAAAGTGCCTAGATGCACTAACTCGAATAAGAATAAGCTCCAGTGGTTTTATCACTGAAAAGCAAAAACTCATAAGAATTCAATAATTTAGTGCGGCAGACTAAGTCCTTTAAATAATGTTATGCCAAGTTGATGATAATGACCTATGCTCTTACAATAAAAGATGTGCGTTATAATAATAAGTTTACTAAATGTGTTATCAACTATCGAACTCTAGAGAGTTGAAGCCTCATTTTTAAAGTTTTACTTTAATAAATTACAATAAAATAATCAATTAAAATAATCAATTAAAAAATAGATTATGAAATAATTACGAATCAATTTTGTATATGCTTAACATATACATATATTATCAAATTGGATATAAATTTTTAATAACATGTTTTAATCGTTTTCATATACACAATTTGCAAACTAATAATTTTTGCGCTTTTGTTTAAATTTATTTTTTAATTAGTAATAAATTAAAAAGTTTATGAAATAATTAATTCCGAAAAGTGGTTACTTCTGCATGATCGCCGGCGCTTTTTTGAAGAATGTGTCAAAAGCGTACCCAGAAGTCGTTTTAATCACAGATTAATATTTTAATTAATGCTTTTATGCTAATATTAAACTTTAAATATTTAAAAATCTCTTAATACTGAATCAATGTGTTAATAATTGAATAAAACTGGTATGGAATCCCGATTATTTATGCAACGTTTATAGTTTATTTTAAGATAAATATTAAAAAATATTAAAACAGTTTCAGTTTTGTTCTTCATTTTGAAAACAAATAATTGACAAAAATAGATTGTATATTTCGTGCATTGAACAATAAGTCCGATATCCATTCTATACAACAATTGAAAGGATATGTGTCTCTCTTATGTTAATTTTATACTGTCTGTAGTGAATAAGGTCTATAATCCACAATTGACTATAAGAGAATTAGTTTTATAGAGATTTTTAGCAAATTCAAAATACTGTCGATATTCAGAATAGTCAAGAACCCGTACATTGAGTTAATCCATACTATTAACCTATTTAGTCAAATGTTTTCCGTTTACTAATTTTCCTTAGACATAAATAAAATTTATTGTATCCTTTTTTTAAGATTTTCTTTTACAAGACTCAAGCATAGGTGGTCGACATATTGAAATTAAAGATTTAATAATATATTAATCTATAGCTATATGATACATACATAGTAGTTTATTACATTATTAGTAAAACTAAAAATCACTATAATAAGAACAAAACAGAGCCTATAACTGAGACTTTTCCGAGTTAGTGCATCTGGGCACTTTTACTCTTTAATAGCTGGGGAGTTTCTGCAGAGTCCCACCCATCTCACATATTAATTTGTGTATTTCTCATAAGCTTCGTGATTATTCAATGACTGATCTAAGATCTGCATACCGTCCCGTGCGGTTAGTTATTACTCTGAGATTAGATAGTGCTAAGTATGGTAGGGTATACACTAGTATTTCAAATTTACAAATTTATGGGAGATGAGATTATGACTTTCTAATTAAGGATATTATAAATTTACATTATCCGATGTGGCTATATAATAATCACATTCTGAATTTGATCTATATTTTCATTTAATTTTTAGTGCTACTAATTTATTATTGATCTGATTTGGTAGCACTCATTTTTAATTAATGGATATATCAATAAACAAATTGACAGCTTCTTTAACAATAAAAATTCACAAATAATAGCGGCAAGACAATTGCGCCCCCAAAGAGATAAATATCTCTGCAGATATTTATCATTGTATTTATTAATCTAAGTTCCTTCAGAAACAATGCTATTATTCCAAATCCTTCTCTAACATAACATATTTGTGCGTTTCTTAAAGAACGATTTAAACGATAATTATTTATTTAATTATTAAGAGAATTTAATCGTTACAAATTACAAATGAATAATAATTCACAGCACTAGCTACTAAGGCTTTCGGCTGAGTAAATGGATTATTGTCTATTTCCAGTGAAGTGTTTTCTTTCCAGTACTGTTAATGTCAGTTGCCACTTACTAATTTAATTGATATTGACTGGGATTAAACATATTTCTTTAGATTTCTTTCACAAATTTGCTACTTATAATCGTAATAGAATGGATTAGAAGATAGATTAGATGACAGTTATTACTAAATCATTTTTATAAATAAAATACAATTTTGTAGTAAATCTACTAATAGTTTAATTTCACAGCTAATTAACAAAAAAATTTAAAATGGAACATATAAGTCAAATACGCCTAATGGTCAGTTGGGTAATGAACACTGAGCTTCAAATTTGGCAGGACACGAGCTCAACACTTGGTAGTCTCAAAAAAAAAATTTTTTACGATTAATTAAATATAAGAAATAATTCAAAGACCACTGATGATAAGTATTTAGCAATACTCTGACCAACTGCATGGTCAGCCAAAAATTTAGTTAAATAAAATAACATAAATTTTTCTTGTTGTTGTTGTTCACCACTTTTCCGAACCTTCCAAACAAATACAATAGTATCTATTTAAATAAAATAGTCACTATTATCATAACTGACGTTTAATTACAATTATAGTCTCAGGGTTTAGCAGTCTGAAAAAATGTTTCACTGAACCTTTATTTTGGACACATAAAACATAATTTTTAAATGCTGCTCGAATGTTAGTCTTTGCATTATGATTTGGCAAATATAATAATATTTACACTATTAATATTTATTTATATTATATTTTATATTTGTAAATATTTATATTTACAATAAATAAGTATGAATATAATAATAATATTATATATTTGATTAATAGACAAATTAATTATCAGTTAAGTGATATAAGTTTATTCCATAATAATAGCATACCGTGTAAGTAATGCCCCTAGTGGGGCATAGCGCCACAACTATTCTCTTAAACCGCACTCTGTTATGTGATTCTCTGCATATATCGTTCCATTTGCGAAATGACAGTGCGCTTCTGTCATTTCTCTTTCAATTTGTCCTTCTTCAAGTTAAAGCTGGTGCACCAGGGCGTCTGCTGTCTTGTGGGTTCCATGTCAAAGCTTGTCGTGGAATGTATTTATTTGGTAGTCGGATACTAAGCCCCATTCAATTCCATTTTCCCCATAAAAAAGTTCTGCATTTGATATGTGGTTAGGTTACCATATTTCTAGGATTTTCCGCAGGCATTTATTTATTTAAGTATATATAAAAAATATATTTCAAAGATATTTAAGTATAAATAAGAATGCTATAACAAATATCAAATATATATGTGTGTGTATTTACTAACCAACTAGATATAAATATACTCTATAACAATATATTGTTTTTATATACAAAATCTTAAATCTGTTAAATGTTTATTTTATTTTTGCTTTATAAATAAAATTAATTAAAATAAAATAATAAATGGAAACTACTAAAACACGGCGCCAGCAATTTCCGACACGAACCCAATAATTGACCTCACATTTATCTATTTCTTAAGTAATGCCGGAGTAGGCAGAGGAAATGTGTGAGTGTCATCAGCTGTACACGAGAATGGCCAAGATAACGACTACAGAAATACGCACGGTTTTTCATTTTTATTGGCCTCAATTGGTTATATTTGTAGTTATCACCTTTAGTACCAATTATATTAACTAAAAAAAAAAAAGAGATTTTCTCTAACAGACATGGAATACGAATTCATTGAATTTATGTTATTATCATGTTAAGAAGCGACAAATCTGTCTCCCCCGTAAGAGCAGCTAACTGTTATCTCAGTGGCAGCAGCAAATTGATAGGTAAGCAACAAAGACGGTAACAACAAGTTCGAACGCAACTACATCAACAGCAACAACAGCAACAACAGCAGCAGCAGCAGCAGTAAAGGCAGTGGAAAGCAAGAAGCGAAGTAGTTGTCGGTAAACTTGAAATACCAAAGAAGCCGTCAAATTGCCGTTCATAATGGATGTGTTATCGACAAAATTGTTTTAACTACTGGATTTGGTTAAGTTTCTTTTGAGATTCCGCTTTGAGAGTTTTTTTTTCATTTCATCTGTCGTTTTAATAAAAATTGGTAAGAAACACCAACAAGAAAGCCACTCAAAGACGAGCGCCATAGAGTGACGTTACCTCCTGGTCGTTCTATAATGGACCGAAAGCAACCACATTTATTAATGGTGTGTGGTGTGCGATATTGACAAACTAAAACGTACCAAGTCGAGTTTATATCACAGATAGTTTTTAGTCATGACTAAAAAAAAATACAAGAAATGTATACAAAAAAAAAGCTGTTATCACAACATTATAGCTTTTGTTTTACATATAAATAGTTTCTCAATTTTAATATTTAATTTATATTTAAATTTTATTTATTTATTTTTATACTTTGTAGTAAAATGTTTTACATTTGAAAAGATGTTATTTATTGACCCATTGTTCCAATATTTCTTACTAGATCGGTTTTAAATAATTTACTTAAGTTCGTAAAATATTTTATATAATATGAGAATGTATTAAATTCAAAAGAGAATAATAAAGTTAATGATGTGTTAAAATTTGGTCACATGAATGGCCTATTATTTTAATATTAAGAGATGATGATTTAAAAAAAAATTTTATGAATAAAAGATTTGTGCTTGACGTATAATCCGTATCCCCTTAACAGTGGCGGCGCTAAACCAACTCTGCACGTCGGCGACATCAGAATTGCGAGGCCCCCTTTATAACCCAGTTGTAAAACTAAATTAGTTACATTCACTAATACGACAAAGCATGATTGAAAGTTTTATTGCTAATTAAATTAAAATAAACACAAATTAAATTAAATAAATTTTCCTACTTTTAGTCTCACTCAATTTTTTTTAAATTATATCATAATTTGCGCCAGCTGCTATTTTTGCTTCAGTTTATAGAATTTCCAATGGAGTTAGTCTCTCTTGGATCATCATACTTTTCTAGTACGTCTTAATCAATTTTAACTTTGAGAAGCTTCTTTCCGTCGAAGCTATACTGACTGGAACTGTGAACATGAATCTGATTACATATATATTCGGAAATACTTCGAATATAGTTAATGACATTATCAAACCAAATTGTTCAAAATATTTATTAAGTGCTTAAAATCCACAGTCGGTAACTTTTGACATCGCTGACGCCTAGCGACGCCACTGATTTTTCAAAAGAACAAAATTAAACAATTTTGGTTTAGACCTTATATTAATATTAATATTAAACTTATTTAAAAATAAGACCAAAATTCAAAATTTGTTAAAACAAAAAAACAAAATTAAATAATCTTGTATTAGATCCAAATACTATTTGAATTTATTTTAAACTTATTTAAAAATCCTATTGTAATAATAATAACATTAATAAGCCTTGCTCGACGTCAATGATTTCGAGCAGCCTCTTATACTGTCGCTTCCACCTTTCGCGCCGCAACGCTGCGTCCTTTATATCAGTTATGCTTATATCAGTGCTTATTCATCTTCCTAGGGGCTGCAAAATGGTATTTATTTCATTTAACGTTGACCTTCGCCATGTTGTTTTTAAACGACCTCTTTCTCTGCTACCTTGCGGGTTGTATACCAACGCCTGTTGTCAAATTTTGATAGGAGCCTTTCGAAGTGTATGCCCGATCCATCTAAATCATTTTTTGCGAATTCAAGTTTGACATCTCTTACATTTGTTCCGGTCCAAAGGTCTTGGTTTGATATTCTGTTTGGTCAGTAAATACACAAAACTCTGTGGAGATAGCGGTTGACAAATATTCTCAGCTTGCTTTGTATGTTTTTCGTAACTAAGATTTTTATCTTTGTGCATAAACTATAGGTATTGGAGCTCCACACTTCACGAAGCCATGTACAAGTGCTCAGTGCTTTATTTATTCTATTTATCACGTCTTCCGCTGTACCTCCATTTTCAGACACGACACTCGCTCAATGGTCTCTGTTTGAAATTCAAAAGTTCGTCATTAAGTTTCTGCTGCATATTATTAAACCGATGTGACAACTTGCATTTGTCGTCAGCATAGTCCTAACATTCTAGCCTAATGTTCAAATGGGTTCGGAAATTATGGTGCTTTCAACTTGATGTTCTTGAAATTGTTTCGATGGTTTTGTCAAAAACCTCATTCACGTAAAATTGTTGCTAAATTGTTTCGTTTATTTTTATTTTTATTAATTTATTACAATTTTTGCTGTCGAGTTTTCGGTTAATCTGGCTCTGAAAGGAGGACTACTACCTTTTCTTTTTCAATAAAAATGTTTTAATTGGTTTACTATTACTTATATGTCTGGCTGCATTTTTTTCAAAGATATTTCTTTGACAACCTGTATCTCGGTTAATATTAATAATGAAACTCTCCTGTTTAATAGGAAGAAATCTAAGAAATATTCGGATTTCGAGGAACATATTTAGGAAACAATTTGTATTAGGATAATTGCGTATGAATTGCGCCTTAAATTATTATCTGCAATGAATAAAAATGTCGTTTGAATTGTGAAATTTTGTACAAAATCTCTTATAAAATATACCTAATAGGGGTATTGCACGAAATGCAAGAATGCTATACTATAATTACAAAAGTGCGAGAGCACCTCTATTACAGAATTGCAACATCAAAATTAAACAGCTGTTACGTTGCAAGCATATATACATAGGTTTAGGATCTAAACTTTAGGTGAGGCAAGATTGCAAGGAATTGCAAGAAATTTTGTGCGTGTATTTTGTTATTGTCCATTGGAAGCTCATACAATCTGTGCATTTCGTGCGCCTTGCAATCAATTTCCAAGACAGCGTGAATACCCCTAATGTTTATTGGTGATAAAAAACTTAATTAATTAATTTACAATATAGAACAAAGTTAATTAATGATTTATTTTGAAATAAATTACAGTAAAGAGTAATATTTGATAAAAGATAATTTCATTGATTACAACCAAAAATAAATCAAAAATGCTAATTTGTTTTGATATATATAACATACGAACAATACACCCGAATATCATTAACTGAATAGCAAAATAATTTAACAATTTGAAAAACAAATATTTTATAAATGTTAAATATTGTTAATTAAAAGAAAAATATTAGCTATATTTTTTGCTTTTCTTTTGGATCAAATTGGAGCATATATTTACTTCAACGCCCAAGAAGGAGCTTCTGCTGATCCATAAATAAGTAAATGTCCTATTTGTCCGTTTACAAATAGCAATATGATGCATATAATGGTTGGTCCAATACCGCAAAAAGTCTATAAAAATTAAATTATATTCAGTAAATAGCTTCAACATTTATGTACCAACCATGTCCGACGTTCGAATATTCGTATATCCTTGCACAATTGCATTTGGTGGTGTGCTAACAGGAAGCAAGAAGGCAATGCTAACGGCTATACCAGTAGGAAATACAACGTACAATGGATGTGTCTTTATAGCAACAGCCTAAAAATAAAATTAATTTTAAGATGATTTCATATAATAGTAGCTTTATTTTACCATCTCACACACTACTGGTATCAGAATGTTGCATATTGCAACGTTTGCACTGAAAGTTGTGAAGAAAACACCAGTTATAATGCATATTAATTGCACCACGTAGTGGGGAAAGTTTTGTGCAAATGCCAGTGACTTTCCCAACATTACAGTCATACCACTTTGCTTGCTCGCTTCGGCCAATGCAAAACCGCCACCTATACGTTAAATTTAAAGTTAAACAAATAAGAATAAGAAGAGTTAATTTCTCAATATATAGAATTTTATACCTAACAGGAACATTAAACCCCATGGAACCGATTTTTCTAAAAATACCCAATCAATCAGCGAAAATATTTCTCTATTTGGATATTTAGCTATAAATTATTTAAATATAATATTAAACATGATATAATAATTTATAATTTATTTAAACATGTTACATACATATAATCATATTGGTATGTTTTAATTACCTTTTCCTTTGCAAAATCTGACACAAATGTACTTTATTGGGAAAATAAATAATACAAAGAATGCAAGAGTAGTAGGCATAGAGCTTTCAATCTGTCTGCAAGGAAAACATAATAATATAATTGATGAAAATGTATATTAGCAATTGTTCGGACTTTTCATTTAATATATCGGCCCATCCTACGAAAAATCCTGGACTACGTGTAAAGAGCAAAATTATCATAATCAAAAATATTATAACAACTTGTATTTCGTGACATGTCATTGGACCCAATTCTTTGTACTTTTGATTAATTATTTGATTCATAATTGCTATATTTTCATTACCGGCAGAAACCTCTTTACTCTCTTTACTATTTGGACGACCAAATCCGAAATTCGTGATTTCAGTTATTAACCAGATTAAGAAAGTTGCAATAATGCACACAGGCATAGCATATAACATATATATAGGAAAGTCAAGTTTTGCATCAGCCTCAGGAAAGCGTCTAAAAAGTCATTTTAAATAACAGATAATTTTATAATAATGATAGAAATATGTATTTAAAAGCGAATAACATGAAAAAAACGTACGTTTCATATATAGCTTTGAACACCAAGTTGGTATCCGCACCGATTAGAGTAGCACAACCACCAATTGTAATTGCGTATACGGTACTTAAGTAGTAACCTACAGCTATTTTTGATGGAATTTTGCTGACAGATACTAAATATTTTAAAACTTTATGTAGTAAACTTTATATTTAACTTACTCTCTTTCATTTTGCTCTTTCTCAGAACTCAGATCATATATATTTATGATCTTTTGCTATAATAAAATACAATATATAAATATTAACATTTATAAATAGAGAGAAAGAGAGAGAGAGAGAGAATTAAGCTGTAATTAATTTAAATACGTACATCATGAAGCTCTAAGAGGATTGCTTTTATTATTGGGCACATCATTGCAGTTGTTGCCGAATTGGGCATTGACATAGATATAAATGAACCCACCAACACTAAACCTAAATGCAGGCTATAAATAGTAAATATTATATGTATTAATATGTAATCTAATAATATGGAGGTCAAGGTTCACACTGGACTGTAGTGCCAAATAAGAAGAAGGTGTAATTTAATTCTACAAAAGTTGGTGTTAATATGAACTTACCGCCTCGGACTGCAACCAACAATTTTAATTGTAATAAGTGCAATGCGTTGATGTAAATTACAATACTCAACTGTGAGTGCTAGCATAAGTCCACCTAAGAACATAACTAGCGGATCTTTAAAATATTGTGCACACACGGTGTGTGAATCCTAATTTACAAACAAAAAACCAAATAATATTTTTTATTTAAATAATCATGCAATTAAATTTACCAATAAGCCAACCATGGGTAGTAAAAAGGCAGGTATGATTGATGTGATATGTAGCGGTAGCACTTCTGTTATCCAAAAGATGCCAATAACACAAACGATATATAAACAAAGAAATGCCTTAAATAAAGACTGATTGTATGAAATTTTTATATCTTGCAGGTCACTGAAAGTAACTTACATCTTCTCCCGAATTCATGATAAAAATTGGTGAAAGCATTAAAGGGACAAGTATCATTGCTATTCCTCTCCAGTGAAACCTACATATACTCTTACATGCATAACCGCACGAAACTGACTCTGATTGCCTATAATAAATAGATGATTTGGTATTATATATAAAATTTTGAAGATATATTCATTTAATTAGAAAGCGAGAAATTATTAACAATAATGATAGAACTATAACATAATTGTGGACTTACTCATTCTCCATTATTTTTCTTATAACGGTTATAATTACCTTCACCAAAATAAATGCAAATTTCAAATTTTTTTTTTATATTTTAAATAAATTTAATATATTTAATTCTTTTGACATTTTTTTTTAAATTTTATTTAAAAGAGGTTTTTGGAAAAAACAAAAATTTTTTTTTATATTATTTTAATTAATTAAATTTTTTTGTAATTTTTTGTTATTTCTGTCATTAGAACAGATTAAGAGGTCTTCTCTAGATTTAATTCTGGCATTTGTTCACAAAGCTTTAAAGGGCTTCATGTAATCAATAGTGAAATTGGTACAATAGAACCCTTCTGGCCATAGTACCGGCTGTTGGGCTATTTCACGTTAAAACTTTAATAAATAAATAAATATATTAAAATGAAATCATAAACCAGCTGCAGAACAATTAAATTAATTAATTATATATTTTTTAATTTTTAATTGTTAAATTTCAATATTATTTTCATCATAAGTTTATAATGCAGTGAAGACATAATATCTGAAATTATATATATTATATACATTATTGGCTAAATGAATCATCCATCTATTAAATAGCAAACTTACCTCAGATTTTATGAACTAATGGCAAAAAAAAAATTTGAAAAGATGTCAGATTAACACGACAAACCCTTAGAAAATCCTTAGTCCCTTTTTATTAGAGTGTAATATTATATATGGTATATTGGTACAGTTTCCTCCTCGTCTTTAGAGCTACAACTGCGACAAAGGTCATTATAAGAAAGTCTCATAGTATGGTTCCCTATTAAGCAGTGACCCATTTAAGTACCAATACCGTAGTGCTAAGCTTCCGCTTTTGTTGGAATAGCTAACTAGTATGTTTTTTGAAAAAATTAGACCAAATCAACCTAGAAATCTGACAACTGGATTCATCAGTCTATTTTTGTCTGGCTATGTTCAGATATTTTTTTTTAATTGTCAGTTTATCTGTTGCAAGTGGAACGCCAAAATCTGAGAAATGATTATCAAGTAGAAGAGATTTCGAAATGAAATGCCAAAATTCCAGGAATGAATCCATTTTTATTTATATGTATATAGAAATATGTGAATATAATACATGTAGAACTTGAGTGTCTGTAATTAAAATAGAATTTTTTTGAAACTATCTATCAACACCTAAAACTTCGTACAGATCTAGTCGGAAACTTAATGTCATTTTAATGAATACTGAATATACAGTATTCACATATATGTGTGTTGCGTCTTTAAAACCGGATTACTAACACCTTTCCTTTCATAAATTGGGTTTTAGAAATTTCTTTACATTTAACATAACATATAGGCTTAGCAAAGAATGATTTGAAATATGATTTCTTTGGTTTACTTAATTTTATATGTTATTTCGACTGTGTGCAACCTTTTTGTTGCTACAATTAATGGAAATGTTTCTGCTTATTATTTCATTAGTAAACATTAGTATACATTATACAATATTGTTATAAATTAATATACATTATCATTATACATTAGTATTTTATTGTATCAATATTTTCTGTGTATGATTACAAGTCTACTAAGAAAAATATGAAAGCATTTATTAGCATTAGTAAAAAATAAGCTGCAACATTTCAATTAATTTCAGCAAAAAATTGTTGCTTTAGCATACTGTTGAAATAAGTGTTTGCGAAGTGTTGCTTAAACATGTTTCTAAACATGAATAACACTCATCATTTCGGCGTATATGTTGCGAATGACAATTTGTTTGTATTTGCCTTTTATAATTTTTGTACAATTAATATTTATGATATGATTATCTATGATATAAAATTAAATTTAACTAGGAGATGTTTATATTATGATTAGAGTTAAATTGTTTTAATTTATAAATCTATTACAAATTTTAATTGATTTATAAAATAATACAGCATTGTAATTATGCTTTTTGATAACAAAAAACTTATATGCGGCTTAACATATTAATGAAATAAATAATTTATTACTCTATCTTTACAATATTAACCACAATATTTGTTATGCAACAGGTATTAATGATATGTAAAGAAACCCCTTTCCAACCCAGCAGCGCCTGCGATTAGTTCTGAACTAGCGAATTCACTAGTCATCAGGTGTATAGTGCTAGAATGGCAAATTTAATATTGAGATGTCATTGCCGGTATCAATTGTCCCCGTACGATACACCTCGGAACTAGTCTTTTCACTAAAAGGCATAATATTAAAAACAAGAGCACAAAGCGTAGTGCCCTCAATTTGTTTATACACAACAAGCATATGTAAGTAGTGGATTTTTGTTTCAACTGGTGAATCGTTGTATTACGTTAGGATTAGAATATGCACTAGTTCTTAAATAAATAACTATAATATGTAGTTGAATTTCTTCGTTTCTCATTTGTTATGGTTTCCTCTTGTTCAAAAATAATATAAAAGAATGTGCTATTACATTTTGTACAAAAAAAGCCATGAGAAGTATATATATTTTAAGTGGCGATTTTACTCATCCCAACGGACCACTCATTTCACTAGTTCCTTTGGACTAGTTAGTGTACTAGTGCTTAGCGACAATTGTATCCTAAAGAACTGCTGGGAATGGACACTCAGTAGTCTATTCATCCTAAGTTACTAATATAGGTAGAAATAATGACCGACAAACGCCTAAAATGCCACAGCTGTAAGCTATATATATATAATATAATTGTTATTAATTTCTATGTAATACAACAAATTTAAAATGGAGTGAAAATAAAGCTTAAATACTACTACTATAAATAAGGACCCTCTATTCTTTGTATTTGTTATTGGTTCTAATGCATATACTAGAATCTCTTATAAATTTGAAAGTAGGTATATCTTTAATTTCAATAAGAAAGCATAAACAAGCAACTAAGCATAAATATTGGGGCAAGCATCCTTATGCTGTCGTACATAGCAAAAAGAGCAAATATTATATATACTATACTATACTACGACTAAGTAAAAATATCAAAACTATAGACTGAAAATTAGGAACAAGTTATAATTTAAGTAGCAAGCAAGTTTTTATTTTTGAGAAATGTGATTTAGTTTTAAGTTTGCAATCGAGAATAATGATTCAACAGATCTTATATCTTATCTATATATATAAATATATGTCTATATATATATATATTAAATCCTTTAACTCCTAGGAAAAGCATAGAAACGCAACAAATATCTTCCACTCCATACGATTGGTGGCCAATAGCTTCAACTCCACCAACTTTTTCGCATGTGTGGCATTTCCGTGTCAATTTGCGTTCTCCAAGTGTGTGCAGGTCTGCCCCTTCTTTTGCTATCCATCTGGTTCCACTCAATTGCCATTCTTGTGGTGTCACCAGTCGGTCTACGCGAAGTGTGACTGAACCATTCCCATTTGTGTTTTTTGATTTCGGTTCTTATAGATATTTGTTGAGTTAAAGACAATATGTCATATATACAATTATAATTATTATTATGAAATTTAATTAATGTGATTAAGTTCTTTGTGATTGTTTGAATTTGCAAAAAGTCTTAACAAAAGCTGTTGTAATGAAACAATATATTTTATTTTTCTGTCTTTTCATTTTATTTCATTTAAATTTTAATATTTATGGAAATTAATTTTCTAACCATTTTATAAAGCTTTATTACTTAAACTTAAAAAGTACAATAAAATTTGGCAATTAAGGGCACCAAATAATGATATTCAATTAAACTTAGAAATAATATACAAATATATAAACACAGCAATATTGATTAAAATCATTAATAAACTAATAAAAATATACAAAGGATGCAAGAACTGATGATGTCTATCCATACATACAAATATGGTCTATAATACATTACAATTATATTCTAACATAAATTATATAAAATTAAAAAGCTAGAATTGCTGATATGCTGAAGTTGTTACGTTTGCTTTGTGCGGGCTGTGTTGAAACTGACGATGGTTCCGTTGTTATTGTTGTAGGATGATTTGCAGTCGTAGAAGAGATTTTCTCCGCTCTTACTTCTTCCATTGGATCATTTATTTGTGCACTACCGCATGGGGATAGTTGCGCAGGTGTTAAGCGTGCCAGCGAATGTGTAAGTTCATGTGGGAAAGGCATATGTGTTTGTTGTTCTATAAGCATTGGATGTAAAAGTGGGTTAGGATTTCCGAAATAAGCTGCTGTCGAATGGATTAAAGCTTGTTGATGTGCTAACGGATGATGTAAAAACATATGTGGAGAATTCTGACGATAAGCGGTTTCATCATAACGTGGTGATATCGTACCACTGGAACTGCCTGAACTTAAATAATACTCGCTGTCATAAGAGTCATTAGCACGTTGGCGTTTTGGTTTTGGTGAGTCTACACTGCACATACTGGAACGATCATCTTCAATCGTTCTGCTTGGACTTGTAGGATTCTCAATTGTTTGTTCATGCTCATCTGCTGCTAAAGACATTTTACGCTTGCAACGTGATTGGCCGGTTTCACGAAAACCTTTAGCAAATGGATTGTTGTCGATTTTCAATTTGGTAATCCGATCATTCTAAAAACAAAAAATGGGAAAATATTACAAATTAGTTACAGAATTAGTGTAATGTTTATATAAACTAGTGGAAGTAATATGAGAACTGGCGTCTGTAGTTTGACTTGACATGTTCGACCTGACATTTTCTATCAGAAAACAACTTCAAATGTCATTCAAAATTTTGTACATGAACACACCGAAAATAGTATATTTTAGTAGCATTTTAGTAGAGCTAAAAATACCAGACTGGCGTCAAGCAAAGCTAATAAATAAGAAAACATTTTAAATGTCTGGACGACACAAGTGGTTCTACACAGCAAGTGCCTAAAATTGAGTTGCTACAAACTATTTGACAAGGATCTTCAAATATATTTAGTATACTCGTAGACGAAGAAATGAATGGCAAACGGCAAATGGCAAAAACTCTTACTAATACGCAAAGGCGTGAACAACACATTAAAACTGTGAACTAACCCCGACGACCACTGCTGAGTTTTTATTTTTAGTAAATGTTTGAGTCACTCTCTGTAGACGGTCTTATTAGTGGCGTAAACTCAAGTGGTTGTCTTACGCATAGCTTAGACGGCAATGCTAATGAGATAATTAAATGAACGTCAAGTAATGGCAACCCACTGTGCCTTTATCTCGACGAAGAAATCTTGAATGAGCAGCAATTGCAGTTGTAGTTGCTGTTAAAATTCGTTAAAATTCGTTAAAATTCGTTAAAATTGCATTTGCACAAATATTGCAGTGAATTTGTTAGTTTTGTATGTTAGCTTGTATGCAAATGTATCAAAATATATGTATAGTATGCCTTGATAGCAGAATTGATATACTAACCTGATAAGCAGTTACAGCAACAAATTCGGTCTCAGGAAAGACGAACGCCTGCTGTGGTGCCCAAGGAATTTGTGCAAGATCGGAAGTACGAATTATATGCAGACGAGGTTGATATTTATGCATGCTAGCCAAAACGATCTGTAAAGAATAAGAACAAAAAATTAATTTAATGCAAAAGGGTTCTTGGTCAACAATTTATAAGATTACATAAATAATAATAATTTATTTTATTTAATTATGAGAACTCTAAACTTACATGTCCATTGCTATCCAAAGTGTTGTTAGTTAGTTTAACCTTATTGAAAAGTATAGCTTGTGATTGCCAATGTGAGCCGGTGGCTGGACTATCTGGATGCAAGAACATACGTTGTGGGCTTTGTGGTTCTGCGCCGCCTGCCGGCACCCATTGTGAACCGGAGAATTTGTAACGACAATCACCGATTGGTACCATCTCTAGCAATACGCAATAGTTCGCTTCCTCTTCCAGACCTGCAAGCGAAACGCGCATTGATGGAAACATGCGTCTGTAATTAAAATACAAATGAAATAGAGAATAAATAATGGCAATTAGTTTGAGTAAATTTCTATTTTTTATTCGATTTCTATTTAATTTTTTTATCAATTTTCAAAACTCACATTCGTTAAGTATGAAAAATGTGTTAAAAGCAAATAAAATAAACTAATAAATCACAGATGCGTTCACGGCTAGGTTGTTTCGAGGATAGAGTAACCAAAAGTAGGAGTTAACCAATTGATTTGTGGTTTAATATATTGTGCGGAACGTTGCGTTAGACGCTTGAGAATAGCGTGTAATTATTGGTTTGACATACAAACATACACGCGTTAGAAGCCAACGTAGAGTAATGGACATGTGTATTTCAAGGAGAAAAATAAAAAAAAAATGTTAGTAATAAAGAGCAAAAAAAAATATATGTACATAAATTAGAACAGCAGGAGCACAAAATATTGGCGCCGTGAAATCATTTAAATTATGCCTGAAGAAATTTCTGAGCATCGAGGCATATGTATGAAGCGTGGAAATGTTTGTTCTCAACAGAAAACAAACAACCACAAATGAAAATGATTAATTGCAGTTTAGAATCTTTAGGCAAATGCATAACAACGCTAGAAATTAATGAAGCAGCTAAAATGTGCCAACACCGTCCAGATACTTGGCATTCGAGATAAATTTTGGGCAGCACACACTAACAAGTGGTTATTTTTTACTTATTTCTTTTTTTTTTTTGGTTTGGATACACTTCTTGGTGGGGATGGTGGAGTTGATGATGTCGTACTAATAAACAACAACAACAACAAGAAGAGAATCAAAATGTGTTAGCATTGTCTCATGTCGAAACCGCGGGAAACCAACTTTTTAACAGTTTTAGTTTGTTATCGTTCAGCTTTTAATGTATCCAGAATGAGCAACTAATGAGCAAATATGGTTTTTCCCTGGTAGAGAATTATAAACTACAAAATATCTCACACATAAGCTACCAAACAACAGTGTGCCTGTATTGTATCTATAATCAAAATACATAATTATGTTAATTTTAATGAGCTACCATAGGCAGTCATAAATTTTTGAGAAAGATAACAACAGAAGTTCATATATGTATGAGATATTCGTTGTCATTATCATGCTTTTGTGTATAAGAGTATGTCAGCCTCTTTAAATGTCTGTCTGTCTGTCTGCTTGCTTCCATTGCATGCACTGCACCACTATTGTTGAAAGTGTGAAATCTCAGGTAGATGCATTCTCATATTGTCAAACATCTATTCTTACTTTTAAAAAATATTGTCAACACGACCGAACGAACAACTTACAACGTGTAACGATCTTTAATATTTTACGATAGCATTGGCGCCAGGGGCCAGTGGCGGCACTACAGAGCGATCTCTGATTTAACTTAGTTGTGACATAAACAACAACAAAAGCCTGTAAAGACATGAAACGCTGCCTTTGAAGTTCATCACACATTTAATATATTTTAACAGTAGGTACATGATTAGTAACAACGCTTGGAATCAGAAATGCATCCTGCTGTGCGACTGCTCATAAATATCGTTGACGCTTATGCGGTGCAGCATAATCCGGTCAGACGATCTTAAATGATTGCACTTGCACTGTTGCACTTTGACGATGGCAATTTGACCAGTGCAAAGCTTTTCAATAATTCGGAAATTTTGCATGGTGTGATTTGCGCTCCTCAAATTAACCTATTAAAGACACTAAATTGCTTAGTGATTTAGAAATTTAATCTTATTACATTTTCGTTGAATTAAATATTTTTTTTTTTTGCTTATAAGTTAAAAATGTTATTTTTGTATACCAAATACTAGTATTTGGTATATAAATATTATTTAATTTTTTTTTTTAAATCAAATCAAGCAAAAGTATATCAAAATATGTGGGGTAGTGTGTTTATGAGTCGTCAACTACCTGTTGTTATAATTTAAAAATATTGTTTTGTTTGGAATATTTATTTTGGTGCGTTTGCAGTGCAACAGAAGAAAAGGAGACCTTAGAAATTCTGGTATTCTACAGCCAACAAATGCCGGCGCTATGTACTTGAGATTATTTGATTTGCTCTTAAGTTCATTGTTTGTAGGTGCCTATTTGCTTTGTGTTATTGTTTGTTAAGGACTTGTGTCTATTTAGTATTGTTTTTGTAAATATATAAATATTTTACTATAATCTTTTATTACTTTTATTTGCTTGGAAACTTGGTAAAACTGCCTTGTAAACCACACACTTACCTTCCACTTTTAGTGATTATCATTTCTGTGCCGATTTTATGAAACTGTTTCCACAAATCATTGTTCTCCAATTTAGCATCTACGCCTGGGAGTGTTGGACGTGGCGGCATAATCATATGATGGGCTGCCATTGGAATTGGTAAGGGCAACATTGTGGGAAAGGGATCTGAAAATAATATATAATTGTTAAAAATTTGAACGTATTTTTACGTGATGTTATGTATTATATGTATGTAATAAAAAGTATCTTAAAATAACTGCTAAAGAAACTCTCACTATAAAAATTTAAATTTTTTTTATTTTAATTATCTTTACTATATTTATATTTCCAATTAAAAATAAAATTTATCTCCCCAAATTCAGTAAAAGTTTCTTATTTATTGAATAATTATAAATCCATATAATTATGCAGTTAATAGATAAAGAATATCAGCTAGTGATACAAAACTACTGATATAAAACTGCATTCATAATACAATTGTTCGTAATTGTCTATGATTTTTAGGTATAGTCCATTTCATTAAGAAAGGGCTCTGAACAAGAACAAATGCATTTTATAATGCATTTTGTTACTAAAATGTACTGCCAAATATTCTTATACAATATAATTTACTAGACATTTAAAAAGAATAAACAATGATGACCGAATGTTATTAAATAATAATTATAATGTATTTTTTAAGAATAAAGACTGCACAGTAAATTTTCTTTAACTCTTATAATGTATATTAAAAAAATTTTTGAAATATTTAATATACATAATTACTCCCTCATAAAGTTTATTACTGTTCTTTATTAATTATTTTATTTAGTATTAACTAAAATTGTTAATTGTGAACATATTAATAATCAAATATCTTATATGTGGGACACAGCGTGGCATTTTAAAAACTAATTTCAGATTGCTATGAAAAAATTTAATTGAAAACAATCCATTATACATAATGTGAAGGTTTAAACCCCAAGATTCCCATTATCTATGCCAGTAGCTATATACACCGCAAAATATTAATTTAATAATTACGTTTATATATTAATTTCGGTAAAAATTCTATTTTAATATGTACATATTTTACATGGTTACCACAAATCTATAAGTTTTCTATTGGCAACTTTTTATCAGGAAAATTTAAGTTGCTAATTTTGCATAATGAATGAAAATTATATCTAAACCGGCTTCTTGTTAATGTCATAGATCCTTCGTGGTAAGTGGTATTTCATCGTAAGAGGATTTCTTTCTTCTTCAAAAAACAAGAAACTAAAATAATCCAAATATGGCGGGTAATTATGCTTATTTCAAAAATTAGATAATAAAACTGAAATTTTATGTATTAATAAATATTAAAATTTAGTGTAATAATTGTTATTAAAAATCACAACTAATAAAGTTATTTTAATATAAGTTCTAAGATTTTATAAGCCACCTCCTAATTTTAACCTATATCTAATATATCTATTGACATATTAAATAATTAAATTTGATTTTAAAGAGAAGAGAGGAAATTAACGTCTATGCTTTTCTGTGCCTGCGTACGCTTCTGGCGAAATTAAACTGTCAACCTTTGTTTGATCTTAAAAATAAAATCCAAATATCAGTTTATCTTTTTATGTTTTATATATACACAAAAATATCTTTTATAATTATGACACATGAGATCATAAAAATTTGTATGCCGTCGTTACAATACCATAAAAACCAATAATTCTTTAAGTCAAAAAGTCGTTCTGTTCAAAATATTTCAGTAAAGATTAGGAAAGTGTATAAATAAGAGTAATGTTTTTTACATATCTATATAAAAAGGGGTTATGAAGAAACCTCGCAGTTAGTAGAGAGTAAAAGTGTTCAAGTGCACTGACTCAATTAGGCTTTCAACATACTACTAGATAAATTGACGAATAATAATTTAATAAAATCAAATTACTTTTAACAAAACAAATTTAAATAAAGTAAAAAATAAAAAATTAATATATAGAAATAGTGATGTTTATCTAGTAAAAAATATAGCAAATATAAAAGGAGTGAAAATTTAAGGAAACCAAAACTAACTATCTCGCAATCATTTTAAAACCATTAATATATATTAATATAATTATATTTATACAATATATAATTAATAAAATAAAATGGCGTATTTTTAATATAATGTAAATTCTAAGATATATTATAAATTTTTGTTATATAAAATGCCGACGGCACCATCACAATTCTGTGATATTATCTTTCATTCACCTGGTATGCGTTGCATAATTTGCTGTCTGTAAATTTCGTGCGCTAATTGTTGTTGCATTTGTAAATCCACTAATTCATTCATGGTCAACATTGTTGTAAAATAATTTTTTTTTTATATATTTTTATTTTAAAAAGTATATATTTAATTTAAAATTGTTGTTTTAGTATTTTTAAAACACTTGTTTTATGTTTAATCTTTATAACTTAGAACAAAGATCACCACTTTTAATGAAACTGAAACTGAAACTCACACCCGTGCTTAACGTTTCACGTTCGTATCTCAACTGAATAACAAATCCCACAGAACGTACTTTACTCACTTCGGTGCCAAAACCTATTTCCACTTCGTGATGATCGTTTTAAACCTGTTTTTCTGTCGTTAGCGAATATACCTGCTGCACAAAATACTTTCTATCTCTCTTGCTTACATGCTTAACGAGCGTTTGGTATTGCCTTGCTGCTATTGGCTCAATAACATCTTGCTGTGCTTGTATGATTGCTTTTCTTCTCTTTTATTTTAAAGAACAATGTTGCTTTACTTTTTTGTTTTTTTTTGTATGTCTTTTATACATTATATCTTTCTTAGGTTTTTATACGGAAACTCCATTTTTAAATTGGTGCTGATCTTGACGCTCAATGTTGTTGATTTTCCACACTACATGTTGCGCATTGTTTAGGTGTTGGCTTTGGTTCTAAGGGCGTGTGTTTGTGGATTTAACTACGAAGTTCAGGAGCAGTAATGAGTGCAACTAATTAATAGAGATTTGTTTGGCAAAATAAATAAATTGAATATTTGTATCAATTACTTTTTTGTTTATTATTAAAATTATTTAAAAATATTTTAATTCAAATATAAGTGCTTGTATATAAAACATTAATAAATCGTTTTTAAAAAAAGAACAAAGTGTCATATACAAGCACGTATGGCTTATTTATTTCTATTATATTTGTTATTAATTTTTTGCTATGTTTTTTTTATAAAATTTATTTTTTAATTAATTTGTTGATAAATTTCACATAATTATTTTATAACATAAGAAAACATATATCTGATGTTGGTGAATGTCATTCTTATTGAGTTTAGTGAAGTAGAAATAAAAATAAATATTATTTGAAACTTTATTACAGTAGCAGCGTCGGCGACCGCAGATCGTCTCGCGTCTATACGGACCTCATATAAATTTAAAACATATAAATTAAAAGTTTAATTATATTTAAACGAGAAGAATGATTTTGTCTTATCATATATAATTATGTAATTTATCATTTTTACATGATCATATATGGAATTATGAACAATTTAGTCTGATCATGTGTATATGTTAAGACATGATAACACGGAATAAATAGAATACAAAACAAAAAAAATGGTTTAAAAACATTAAGAAGTTAAAAATAAATAATTCAAGAATATTTGAAAATGTTTGAAAATGTCATCTCTCTATATAAGCAATGGTATACTTATATCAACTACAGACCAAAGTAAAAGTAGTTATAGTTGATTGTTTATTTTTTTCATACAGTTATATGTATATACGTTCTACTTATTTCTTGTACCAAAAAATAGTGGAAAAACACAAAGGTTTAACTTATTCTGTACATTAAAATTCGCCAACTATCAGTTGATAACTACAATAATTTTTTTTTAATAGTTTGAAAGCATCAAAAGCTTAGGTATAGGATTTAAAAATACTCAAACCAGCTTTTAAGAATGAATTGAAAATGGATTATAAAGTATGTTAAGAATTAGATTTTCATTTCGGAAATTAGATAATAATTAAATTGAGTGCATTAAAATTTGCATTAGTACATTCGCTTAATCAGAGTGAAAGATGTTTGTGACATGATCGTCTTTAAATCCTTCCAATGTTTGTAGTACTGCGAAAGAAATTAGAATTCCGAAATTAGAATTTAGTAATATTTTTTTGTTCGTCAGTTTTTATGAAGGTGAATTCCTCCAATGTGCCCCACTTCCCGGGTCAAAAATCAGTTAATCTCATACTGGATAAAATTTGGACAATCTTATGAAGTGTAGTTATTTCTTTGTTTAACTAACTCGCGAAATATTATTCAGTAGCGAATGACTCCTTTTGATTATGACAAATCTACAAAAGTGTTTCTAAAATTGCCAGAAGGAAAGTGAAAAGTGACGGTGACGGTAACGGTGTGAAAAATGTTTCAAACCTTTTATAAAAATATGTTGTGAATGTCCAACTTGAAATTTAAGCTCCATAAAGAGCGCAGACTTCCGTATACGTATTCTTCTTCATTTTTATTTGGTTAACAATCATTCGGAGCTACCGCAATTGCAGTTCGGTACTCGTACATTACGTTAGTCTATTTGAATTCTTCGCTAACTGCTGGCAAGTTTCTCAGTTTCCATGAATTTATGTTTTCCTGAGTATAAATCTTCCGTGTGTTTTAGTTAATGAACGATAGCTTGTAATATTATTTTATCGAATTTGTGCCTTCAACATGTTTTCGTGTGTAATTATCGTGTTTGTTTTTCACATTTTTGATTTTTTATCTGACTTAAAAGGGGTTGTCTAGTACAGTTGGTGGTCTCTAGAGAGCAAGAAAAATGTTCTGCGGAATGCCATATGTAAGAATGGCTTCGGTTTATGTTTATGAAGACAGGTGAAGCATAAATTTTGTTACTTAATTGATAGTTATGTTTCTTATGTACTGCGCTATAAGATTCTTTATATTTATATACGGAATTTGTATTCCATTTTTGGTTAATAGAAGTATATTGTCAGATTTTCCTAAGCGTTAAATAACTTTATTAAGTACTTATGAATAGATTTGTGTTCTGATCATTGAATTGTTGAAGTGCAAAGGCGCGTATGTTTACTTCACTCAGTATAAATCATAAGATACAACTTGTTTTATATAGTGATGAATATATTTTCATCACATATATAAGTACATTTGAACAACAATGTACATTTGTATTATTTTAGAATTAAAAGTTTACTTTAGAATATAGTTATATGGTATAAAATATGAAATAATAAATAATGCTTAAGGTAATCGTTATAATAAACATATATATCTTAGAATATAGATTTGTTGGATTAGTATTAAGTCTGAAAGAACATTTTTGATATATACATATGTTTTAACTCCTAATCCCAGAACAATTTTTTAATTATAAATTTTTTATATTGTGAAAAATAACTCTATGAATTTATTCATGTATCTAATTAGCATTTTTATATTTAGTACAATAATATACCTATTGACCTAATCAGAAATGGAAGTAGGGTAAAGTGGAACGCTTATACAATATAAGTGATTTCATAAAAGATCAGTCAAAATTTTCATTGAAATTAATATAATTGGAATTGAGTATTTTAAAAACATAATCCTTCTAAATTGAATACTAGGATTATTAACTACTTTATTCTGATATAATTTTTATTCCTTATCAATGGTTTCTTATGGACCAAAATACGGCCCTGAACAAATAAAACTAAAGCGAAACTACAAACTTTCATCAGCCGCTATTTATGAAGCATGATGAAGTAATGGTGGCCAAGAAATATGTCAAATCAAGAATTTTGGAGACAAAATCGCGACAATATGGTAAATAGAAGCCCCGAACCAATGAAACTAAAGCGAAACTACAATCTTTCATCAGCCGCTGTTTATGAAGCATAATGAAGTAATGGTGACCAAGAACTATGTCAAATTAAGAACTTTGGAGACAAAACCGCGACAATATAGTAAACAGAAGGCCTTTTAATTGATGTGAGTTTTGACAACATCCACCCTTATGAAAAGAATAGTTGAACAATGTTTTCTTTTTATCTGTCTCAGTATATCAATAAGAATGTTGGGTCATGTAGTTGATAATAATTGCGTTGAAACGAGAACTATTATGAAACCAATTAATCTCCATTTTAAGCGTTGTACAGAAATGATTTCTATGCTTCTATAAAAACCTCAAGAGAAAATTAACACGGCCATCGAAAGTTGTCAAGTATAGGTATATGAACATAATAGTCATAGATTTGCATTAATCTTATCTAAATTGATAGAATATGAAGTTTAGGTTTTATCCGCGATCATAGGGATCAACTTAGGACCATTGCCTCACTGTCCTGCCTTTTTCAGAGCCTAGTATGCTCTTTAAAGAAAAATGTTGAAAATGGCTGAAGAAACTTTAAAAAGAAAATTCCTAACATGATAATTTGTTGTTGCGCATGCGTTGGACAGTGACAAAAAAGATGTGGGACATTTTCTACGTATTTTCTATAAATCCAACAAGAATCATTAAACGGGCTAAGATTTTTCAAATGTATCTATATTGAATCTTTAAAGAACTTTATGTAATCGTAATATTGGTACAATAGGACTCTTTTAGCCACAGTACCGGTTGTTGGGCGATTTCACGTCAAAACTTATAATAATATAATAATAATACAGAAAAATTACTAAACTTAATGACTTTAAAGCAGTATTACACTATCTATTTCAAGACATTTAGGTTCCCTGATTGCGACAGGATTTTTCAGTTCCACAAAGAAAAGTCAGTTTAGAACCTTATAGTTAAACCGTCTTCAAATGAATGAGTGCAAGTTCCTGTGAAATTTCTCTGAACTTACAGTCTCTTTTATTATATTTCATTAATTAATTTACTGCAGATATTGTTTTGTAAACACAGTCAATATAAATATAATGGAGCTAATGACATAAGACCGATCAATGCGTATAATGGCATTTGTTATTGTATTAAATTTAAATTGGAAATGACACAATATCATGTAAAATCATCTGAAAGACTACTATTGCCAATTCGTAAAATAACTCTTATACTTTAAAATTCACACATTTTTTTACGTTATGATCAACCATCACCAAAAAAATGTTCTTATTGTAGTTTGTGCTAAAATCAGTTTTAGAGAGTGATTAAATAATTTTTTGAGCTAACTAGAAAGAGAAAGAAAGAGTTGAAAGAGTTGGAATTTCTGGACTATTTTATAGCAACAGGACCCATTGAGAGGATATATAATATTACATAATAAATATGTAATATATAATGTTATATATAATATTACATTATTATAATCAATAACTTTTGATACTTAACTTCAATATATTGGCTTTTAAA